CCAAGTTCCATCTAAATTAGTCAAACCTTGTGGCTTCTAGGGAACCCACAACTTTGGTATATGTATTACATGCTTTTCAACTATTTGCGTAAAGGGGAGTGGCCATTTTGACGAGAAGTGTCGATCCTATAATCATGAAATTCGAACTCAACCATGATAATGATGTAACGTTAATATATTTGAACGGCTTTTAAAATAAAGCGTGATTTTTCGTACAATAAGGGGTAATAATCCTGGAAGTTACAGTTCGATACGAGATCCTTTAGATATACACCCATATTTCAAGTTTCGTTAAAACCGGATAAAAATTGAGACCTGTGAAGGGTCCACAAACAAATGTGAACGGACACACAGACGGACGGACACACGAACTGGACACACGGGCGGATAGGGGCGTCGCGTCCCGTCCCGTCCACATGAATATGTGGGCATATATAAATTGAAAGCCGAAATGTTTGAAAATCTTATTTAGAAGAAAGAAATATATATGTGGACGTATATAAAAATACGCACAGTTAAAATAAATCAACTATTTTAAATTATTTATTCTGAAATACATCAAATCAAAAACAAACTTCTGCCCTTAATAAATGTCCTCAGGTCGTACAACACATATACAATTATACTTAAACCATACATATTTATGCATTGAGAAATTAAAATGATTTACAAATTACGATGTGCTTACTCTTTTAGAACATCCGATGACAATTTTATAGTCCGGATAGTATAATGAAATTATTACAATTATGTATTACATCTACATATTTTACTTGGAAAGATGAAGTGTTTGAACAAATCCATGGTTTACCAATGGGATCACCAATAAGTCCAGTTATCACCGAAATATATATGACAGCCTTTGAGCAAAATGCCCTGATAGTATCCCCATTCCAACCTAGTATTTGGCTTAGGAAAGTGGACGATGTGTTTGTTGTTATGAAGGAAGAGGAAGATCACCAACTACTACTCCACCACCTCAACTCAATCCATCCCCGGATACAATTTACAGTTGAAGAAGAAAATAATAAACAACTACCCTTTTTGGACATCCTAATTGATAGAAATGATGATAAATTAACTACAAAAGTGTATAGAAAACCGACTCACACAGATCAATACATTAATTTCACTTCAGCCCACCCAACAACAACCAAGGCAGGAATAGTTTCGATACTTACCAGAAGAGCTCACAATATTTGCACTGATGACAAAATTGAAGGAGAAATTGAACATATTACTGAATCTCTAACCAAAAACAACAACTACCCATTAGAATTTGTCAAAAAAGTTATTCATAGTACCACAGAAAAACTGAACAAAGCCCCAAACGTGACAGGTAAAGAAAAGGCTCCAATTCATATCAACATTCCATTTATAGGCCCAACAAGTTATAAAATTAAAAGATTACTAACTAGATTGCAAATAGATGTAACATTTAGTGGGGGGATATCATTAAAATCACTTATCAACGCCCATGGGAGAACAAAAATACCAACAGTGGACCCAAAGGGTATAGTTTACCAGATCCAATGCGATTGCAAATCCATTTACATAGGCGAAACATGCCGACCATTATCAGTGAGACTCAAAGAACACAAAGCAGCAACTAGACGTATGGAACCAAACAAATCTGCAGTAGCCGAACATATTATAAACAATCCTACCCATAACATAGAATGGGACAACACCAAGGTGCTTACCAAAAATATTAAAGTATGGAAGAAAAGAGTTTTGTGGGAAGCATTAGAAATCCGAAGACAAAAACCAAAAATGAATAAAGACAATGGAAGAGCCATTTCTAATGTATGGAATGAATTATTTTGTTAAGCAAGTTATTATCCATTATTGGAACTATTTATAAGTATTATACAATAGGATACCATAAGTATCAATTATCAGTGAAGTAAAATTAAAATAATTTTTTATCAGTGGAGTGGATCTATAAGTTATTATTCGTATCAGTGGAGTGGAAATTAAAAATTTTATTTATCAGTGGAACTATTATTTATAAAGGCTACTATAACTTATTTATTTGTTCTATTGGAACAATAATTAAAAAATTTTCTATATAATAATATGGTAAATGTATGAGCAAGAGGGGGTGGGTTCAACCTAACTAATTATGCATAATGTATTTAAATTAGTCATATTAAATATTTGATGGTGTGGTTAATGGGTTTTGATTGCATTTTAGCTTAGGCGGTGGCTTCAATCCCCACTTTTAACACCTTAGATTGAAGAAAAATGGTAAAGCCATACTCAAAGGGAAATGTTTGTTGTTATAGTCTTAATTAATGTTATGTTTTTATTGTTAAATGGTTCTTACTCATGGATGTACTATAAATGTAGAGTTGTTATTCATTATTGATCATTGCTTGATAAAGATACCTGTAAGAGTATTGAAACGTTGCATGTAATAAACCAAGAAGTAGTAAATCCATAAAGTTGTGTTATTATGAATAATTTTATACCTGTTTAAGTTTTCAAAATGCAGCTTTATTTATACACTTGGATGTATTGTTGTTGACTTGTATGGTAATATAACATTTATGGTCATAAACAGTAATATAACATTTATGGTCATAAACAGTAATATAACATTTATGGTGAAATATATAAAATATAAGCACTGTACTGTGTATAAATAATTAAAAGTATTATGACTGTGTGTAGCACTTTTAGAGATAGATAATAAATAGATAAAACGTGTAACCTGATGTCTAGACATTGTTTAAAACACCGTCATTATGGCATCAAATGCTATTTTAATGGAAGAATAATACAATTTCTGAATGTCAAGATTTGTAATCATCAAGAGACGCCATAACAACTCTACTCTTGATAAAATCTCTTTATTGATCTGACGAGCATATACTTATTAGATAATATCTTTATTCCACTTACTCCATTCTTCTGACCTTTTAATATAGGGAGTCACCATGGCTCACTAACCAGGGGGTCCGAGGTTCGATCACCGTGTTGGCCGAGAAAGTTCTCCGGGATTTTTCAGCGTGGTTTCTCATTGTCAGTGGTGTAACCGGGTGGGGGAGGGGCTGGCAAGAAACAGGGCCTAGTCTTCGGATGGTACGAAAACCGAGGTCCCTCGACAGTTGGAATTTAATTGCTGTCCGGCCAAAATTTCCCTCATATCACAAGGCATGGCTAGGGCAAAACAGTAGAACGTTAAACCCTATTTCGTTTATTCATTCTGAACTACATGCTTGTGTAGTAATCATTATATATGCCAGGTAAATTAATATGTTTTACCGACTGTCACACTGTCCTGTCCATTTTTTTGTTCAAAGCTGATTTTCAGATTTAACATCTAAGAAAGGGTTGAAGAAAACAAAATCCCGCAGGACAAAACGGAAAGTTTAGCATGTATAAAAGAAAATTAAGTGGTGACCGGCTCGACAAATTCGGATAGTAAGGAAACATTTGTATTAAAACTGTTTGGAATTGATACCACCAATGAAATAAGAACTGTGGTGCAGGTATAAACTGGTGTTATAATCGTGAGTAAAGTCTGTCGACTAGAATATCTTAATGCCCTGGTATCAAGCGTTCCAATCGCCAGACCCAGGGCAATTTTTGATATAATAAGTAGTAATAAAGAAGCATTCGGATAATACCGATTATGCTATCAAGTGAAACCCATGCGTTTTTGATCCTATTTGAGAGAAGAGAAGTAACATATTTAGGCAAAATAATCATGAAAAATAATAGACGTACAGTGTCCTTGAAATTTCTGCAGTATTTTTGACTTCTTGGTTTTCTTTACCTATATTACACAGTGTCTATAGTCAGTTTGAGACACAGAAATCTAAGGAATGCCTGAATTTTAAAAAAAACCTCTCTTGCCTCGGCAGACACCCTCCCCGCGTATTGTTCCCAGCCCGTTTGCTTCAGATTTCTTAGCAATGACCCGACTAGATCTGCAATATCTGATGTTTCTCATTTGTCTATCAGATCAAAACATATTGTGGTAATTTCGGAAACGGAATTAGGGTTTAAAATTCATAAACAAAATCTGCTGATGCTTTTCTATTTCTCATCTGAAGTCTCTTTACATCTTTTTTGCAGGAATAGCTTGTCTTCGATTAGACTTCTTGAAACTCTAACTGTCAAAATATTCATTGGAAGCCAAAGGCAGTCAAAGATATTCTGTATAAATTGCTCTTCAAGTCGAATTATTCAAATAGTGCGTATGAAAAGTGAAATTGGAAATTTATTGCTTGAAGTGGAAGCTGTAGCTAGAGAATGTTATTATCTTGAGCTATAACATTGTTATAGTGACGTCAGTTTTTATAATATCACGCAATACAGAACAATCATTTATATAATACACTGGTTTACATAGAAGTCTACCAGACAATTCAATCTACCGCAAACCAATGAGCTGATTCATCGCTTTACTCTTGAAGACAGCTCCAATATTATAGCCAAAAAGCTCTATACAATGTCGATTTGTTGTTTGTTAAAGTCGCTGGTAATCCTTGGCATGTTTCGGACAATCTCCTTTTTGAGAATATATCTACATTTGATACGCCTATTGCACTTAACACAATACTTTTCGCTGTGTTATTGCGCTGGCCAGGGGTTGTTTAAGAGAAGCCAAACACAGAGTTATTTCCCCTTGTCACTAAAATCCCATGAAAACCCTGTAAATCATAGTTTTGGATTTTAGGGTCACGCTTCTTATTTATCAGAAGTTATTGCCTTGTCTCCAAAGTCTTGAAAATAATCTACATGTCAGAGTTTTTGTAAGACGTTTTTACTTCCCTTAACAAATGTTCTGATGTCAGTGTGTAAGTTTAAGCGTTAGAATCAAGTTCTGAAGATGTCTTGGCTATTTGATAGCATAATCAAACGAACACGCTTGTGAATGTTTATGTATAAATTTTAAAAAAAATCTGTACATATAGTATCTAGCATGATTTACTCAATTCTACCTGTCATGTTATTTCAAGTTATATATATTTCTGTTCACTTTTCAGACGATATTGGTAGGAGATAGTGGAGTTGGTAAAACCAGTTTATTGGTGCAGTTTGATCAGGGCAAGTTCCAAGCTGGTGCATTCTCAGCAACAGTTGGAATCGGATTTACGGTAAGTAGAATTGTAGAAATACTGAAAAAGATAAAAAAAATTATATGACAATTAGCTTTATTATACATGTTCCAATAGTAACAGAATACCCAACAATTTTAATGGCCCATGTCAAATAATGTTATTCCAGATATATGTGCCTATTGTTCAATTAATCTATAGTTGAGACTGTAATTACCCACATTTCCTATGCGGAACCATCAGTGAGATATGACGTGACTAGCAGGTCATAATATTATCACGGTTTTATCGCCGGTGTATGACAATTTGTATAACCCCCTATTGATCACTAATTGATCTTACACGTTCAGCTATTTATGCCAAATGGATCAAATGAGATATGACTAGTTTGAAGATTGACGATGAGGGATAGTCAGAACGATAATTATTTCCTGAAAATCGGAAAGAAACTTCCCGTCAAATAGCCACACCACTTTACAAAATAGTATAATAAAAGCATGTAATACCCAGGTTGTGGACCATCTAGAAGTCACAATCTTATATGAATTTGATGAAACTTGAAATGAGTATCACTAGTTCTTGGGCGAGTTTAATTTTCGTGCGCAACTGCGCCTGTCTTTTACACAAAATGTGAGATATGAACGAAATTTGTAGACCTTTTACAACGAATCTTAAACTATGTGTTAAGGATCAAAGATTCTTGAGTTCGACCTTGGTACACTTCAGACCTCACATTAGATAGAGCTATAGAAATATGTTAAGGATCAAATGTTCTTGAATGAGATGATGAGTCCTATTTGATTTTACCTCTTCCCCATCCATTTCTTGCATGACAACTGCTTGTTTTAACTGGTCATAACTGATAGCAGTAAATAATTACTATAATAGCAAGAATGGCCAGCCCTTTATGTAAATCTTACATAATGCATATTTAAGTCATTGAAATTGGACTCTGAACCTTTACTTTTCTGCACCAACTAGGCTAATGAAGACAGGATATACGCACCCCAATGTGCTATGAGTGAAATTTTGACCAGGCAGCGTGGTTGCCACGTAATCTCCACGGGATCTCGATTTTGTCGTATCTTGCAAACTGAACCCCTCGAACTACAAAGAGAAAATGACAAAAACCACGGCTTTTAAATCTTTCTGACTCTTCACAATAGCCATCAAAAATTCAGTGATAGTCAGACACCAGGAACTAGTACATACGATACACATCAATTTAAACACCGCCAACTCTTGATTGAGCAATTCTGTTATTGCGAAACCGATATGACACACTGTTTGAATAACAATGTGAACAATTTTTATACCATAATTTAACCAATCAAATATTCCAAGTCAGGCTAGACAAAGAAATGTGATTCTAGTTATATTTAATATAGCAACTAGTTCTATTCGTGTTGAGATAATCGTTTGGTGGCAGTAACTGTCGAACGTGGTAGTTCCGTCACTGTCTAGTAATGTGTAAATATGTCTACTTGACATTTAAAACAATAAGAAACGTTAAATTACAATCAGACAAGCTAACAAATGCCTGAGGTACTTCAAAATTCATTGAAATTATATTCTCTTTGGACATGATGATCATCGAAAGACAATTTCCAACATATAACCCAAAGTCAACATAGTGGTCGTAACGTTATATCCCATTCTTTAAACATGCATTATGCAAGAACTAAACTGCCTATTGCCGGTCTTTCTTTAGGCCTTAAATGTAATATAAATTATTAATTAGACATTCATAAACTTACCAAGATCATAATCAACTCTCGGTGCCATCGAATGGCTCCGATATTAAGTAGATTTAAATACGTTTTGCGGTTGATGATTTAACGTAAAAATGGATAACAACGGTAGCAATGACAATCGAAGCTACGCTGTAGTTGTATCGCCGATAACTAATTTCAGAGTGAAGTAATTTGACTGAAATTTTCAACATATTCCCTTTTAATTATCTGTTGTTTTGTTTTTAAACTATTATAGCGGGAACTGTCAGGTCTTTAATATTACCCAATGCCCCTTTAATTAAACATCTATCTAAATGAGCATTAAATCGTTATTAAAATGATGGCTTCTCCCAAGAAAACATATTTTATAGACATATAATAACGCGTAATATTAAGTTGTATTAACTTCGCCAAAAAATACGAACAAGAATTCGGTAGACAATAAAAAGCTCTAGTGTATTTGATAAATGACCTTCTGTAGAGTTTATTTAACCCTCTAGTCCCCACGGGGTAATTTAAATAATCAACGCTTTATCCTATACAAAATCTTATTAAGTTATTGTGTTAACAACATCTTCGTTAACTATGTGACGGAATTTATTTATTTTGACGTAAAAGAAAATGTAGTCTTTTGAGTAATTCGGTATATGAAGAATATCCTGGCGGTTGAAGATGAGTTATTTTCAGATGAAGACACATAGAGTTCAGAAATCTGTAGAGAATAATGGAAAAGCGAGATTTTGATAATGGCTGAAGATATTTCCCTGAGGAAATCAATTGAAGGTGAGTTAGATATCTTTGTGTAGTTTTTTTTTTGCCACTAGGCAATCTGGGGCTTAATTTTCAACATGTGATCACAATTATGATGTAATATCTAAATAGACCCGTTTTATATCAAGACAATTCTAGATAATACATTTACGCACTGAATCGTATTAGCTGAACAGAATTAAGTTAGACAGAAAACTGATACTTACTGCACATACAGAATAATATAATATGTGCATGAATGTATAGAGTGAAAGAAGATCGTTTCAAAAACAATCAAGTCTGTTTATATTTTTAATTAATATAATCATGATAATTTGCTAGTGAAATAAAGCTACACGGTAATGATGGAATCTCTCCAAATGGATTTGGCAGTCAATAATGAAAAATACTACCCAGTGCAGTGGTGGACCACCAAGATAGTTTAATATGCAGTTCATTCACGATACCGTTCGCGACAATTTACATGTATCCAATGTGAATTAAAGAAAATTGTTCCATATAAAAAAAAATAGACATAACAAAGAGAACGGGGGCATGTTTCACGAAATTATAACTAAGATAAAATCCAAATTTTAGTAATTTTATTGGATAATATTAGATTGATTTTAGTACTTAGCCAATCAAAATTGAAGTATCTACTAAAATTTATATTTTATCTTTAGTTAAGATTTCGAGAAACAGGGCCCTGGAATATAGCTCAGATGATATATGACAACTATGCGGACAACGTGCTATAAATATTGTAGGCTTTCCGTCGACACTAAAGCACACACTAAGCAGATATTCTATCTGAATCAACATTTGGGGCTTTCGAAAAGCAAACTGGATACCTCCTGCACAAGAAACTGGATCAATATGGTATAGTACCAAATAAGATTAAAAAATGTCATTTGTTGGTTACGAAACGTCTAGATATATATTTCCATCATTGACTACGAAACTTGTTTAGTACCAAATTGATTTCGTATTGATAAAAGCACAAATGGTATTATCATGATTGGCAGATATGAAGGTAGAGCGAGGTAAATTGATTAATTATATACCAGTACAAGGTTGCTATGAAAACCATATCTACATAGAATTAATAGTTTACACTGAGACGCTATCACTTCCTTCTACTAGTAGATTAATCAAGCTGCATGTCAGTCATTTGTCTTCACTACTCATTTATAAAATACATCACGAATACGAAGAACTTTATTTTATAATAATGTAAAGTTAATTACATCGTATCTTAAAGTGAATTGTATCGCTCATACTGATGATCATCTATTGACCAAAAATGTTAAATAGACTGCACTATGATTATATTTGTGTGTTACTACCTCTATTTACCCGTTAAATTGATAATACAAGAAAACCGCACAACAAAACACAGTCAAACACAAATAAAAGAACATAGAAAATAGTCCCGAGAAGCTATAAAATTCAGAGATAACCTAGAAATATTTAACAGTTGCCCCGTGTAGAGGAGTTATATCTAAGTTAGAACTAAAGCCGTATATCAGATTTAGACTGGTATAGGCCTATTCTTAGAATTCAAACTGTCAAGGGATCCTTAAGTGTCCAGGCATGGGTCCTAGACTTTAGCCTACTCCTGCCCGAACGATTAGACACATGAGGACCTTAGGTAAACATATAGGTTTCGTATATTTTCATGAAACTTGTTGCGATGTAAATACGGAACTACACAGGCCCACCTGTATATAATTTTAGTTGCCATGACAATCGTTTGCACTCTTTTAACTTCTGTTCGCCTTTCAGATTATATGTTCACTGCGAAGAGCGGGTTTAACAATTTATTTTATCAGATAAAGTTATGTTTTTAAGAGACCATGTTATCCAAATTCAATAATATATTTTTATGTTGTTTATAAATACCATAACATATCCATCAAAATATAATAAATTTATCTCCCCAAGGCTTATCTATATCTTGTCATACTGGCGATGAAAACCTGTCATTGTTAACGACCAGTGACATTAATTTTAATTACTCTTTAGAGATGAATGACATTGGTGAGTTGTACTTCATTAGTTGGCGGTCGTTCTGAATATGTGTGACTAGACTTGTTAATTATTCTCTTGTCCACATTAATCTGGTATAAAAGATTCTTTACAAGACGAGTTTAACAACATAGTCTGGATCATAGCGGCATATTTCTTTTATGTAATAAATTCTGAAAGATGTCGACAAAGTTAAATATTGAAGTGAAGTGTATATTGATATCACGGTCGCCATGTTTATACGTCTTGAGGCGCATGAAATATGTATCCCTGTCCTAGACATTATATAGAATTGTGTTGTCTTTAAATATTTGATCTTGAGAATAGATCTCTGCACTGAATGGCCGCCATTTTGTTATGCTATTCTAATCCGTTTTACACCTTTCAAACACACACAGAATAAATAAACGTGTCCAGTTTCGTTAAATGGGAAAAATGAAATGAAATGAAATGGAGTTATAACGTCTTACTGTTTTGCTCTGAACTGGGCTAATACGCCATACAATGTGCTATGAGGGAAATTTTGAA